ATGGTATGGAACTTCGTTCACCTCAATCCGTTTCCCGCCCTCGCTAAGCTTGTCTATGTTGATCTGGGACACTCTTACGAGTGTTCTCAAATATTGTCGCATGGCCTTCGGTAATTTAGCAATTTTCTTGTAACAGCTTATACATGTTTAGCATTTCCAACAAAATATTCGGGGAGATTCGAGCTGATTGGATTGCTTTACCGTTCTACGGACAGATGGACGTGTAAAAATGACGTGTCGTCGAGCGCGAACGAGTTGCCATGCATTAACGGACCCGACTATATCGTCAATAAAACCAGACGACGACGATCGACCGGGCAACGATATAAAACCACGGGGCTTAATAACCGCGCGGATGTTTCCCGAATAATTGGTTTTCCAGGACAGTTCGGCCCGACGCGGCATCGCACGACGGTTATGCCTAGGAATGATTAGGCGTAAAAATTAATTCGGTGCTTTTTTTCATGAAATTCCAGGTTTATTTGCAAAAAGTCAAATATAAGTTTAATGTTCGAAATAATTTCCGTTATTTTCCATGACTTTATTCCACCTGTCGGGTGACTGATGAATGCCCTCGCGGGAAAAAACTTGGCGGTTTTGATTCGATCTCGTCATCGATGCTTTTTCGGATCTCGTCAACTGTATTAAAATGCGTGTTCGCCAGGTGCTGTTGAAGCGACCGAAATAGGTGGTGATCCGACGGGGCTGGATCTTGGGAATAAGCCGGGGGGGGGGGGGATAATATGAGGGGGAATTTCCCAGTCCAATGTACAAATGAGATCCTTCGTTCCTTTTGAAGTATGTGACCGCGCGTTATCGTGCAGCAGAATCATCTGTCTGCTTCCATTGCCGGCGAAAGGTCTATTTACAAGTTTTATGGGTCACAGCATCTTCACCCAAAGCGGAACAAATCATTTCGCCAGACCGAGCAGCATTTTTATTCAACTGGAGTGTATAAAGGATGCGGCGCCTCAAATACTTCCTTTCAAACAACATCGCGATAACTACTGCTTTCCGAAGTTCCATCGGCAAGGCCGTCAACTATTATAGCGCTTCTCAAAGCTTAAGGTTGGCGCTTTCAGATCGCCATAGGACGGGAAAAAATTTTGATTCGAACCTGAGTTACAGGACGTTAAATGCAAAGGCACCGTATTAATTTGCACATCTAATATATTCTACCACGGATGAAACGCGAGCTACGTCGACGGTGACGTCGGTGCGCGACTTCTATTCGATTTTTCGCGAAACGGGCGGAATTACCTGTCGCGTTCGATCCACTCGTAAAAAGGGAAAAAGCGACGGACGGCCGGTCCCGCGGTTTATGTGTAATGTACTGCCGATAAAGCGAAGCGCGTAGCGAAAGTGGCAATAAAGCCGAAATAACACGACGGATTCGGTAATTCGCTGCCTTTCCGCTGCAGACCGACCGGGACATTTACGGCGGAGTTTGCGAAGCGCTTGCTTATGCGGCGAAATTGATAATACCGGTCTGGCCGTCGCCATTGCGTTTTTCCCAGGCGCGATAAAATGCGCGCGCGCGCGTGCCTCCCGCGAAGGATTAATTTAATTGCGAAGGACCGCGCGAATACCGCCCGAGTTATTGCTATTGCGAAAAATGATATTGCCGCAGTCGCGAATTACGATTCGGTTATTTGAGCGTAGAGAGGGAGGAGGGGGGCGGTAAAATTTAAAGTGGAAGATAACGGTCGGCTTGCTGACTAAGCCTTCGGCGTGAGGGTTTTCCCCCCTTCTCTTCGCCCTCCCTTTCTCTCCCTTTTTCTCGCTACGTTTTTATCTACGCTAAACGTATTATGGATATTTTTGCGAAAGGACGATAATATTTGGAGGACAAAAATGCCCCTCGTAAAATTCCGCGTCCGGCGATAAAATCGGGGCCGGGCCGGCTGTAACATCTATTGCGAGAGATTAATCACGAGCGCGCTCGCGCGCGCGCACGTGTCCTCGAAACGTCCATGGCCCGAAAGTGATTACCGTCATAAAGAATGATATTGCACTTGTTACGGGCTATAATTTGCTTTCTCGCCCGTTCGCGCGGGCGCCAATGTAAATTGACTTTAATTGCTCCGTTCTAATCCTGGGAGACGTTAATGATGAATTTTTTTAATGAACGCCGACCCCCGACGGTACGGCAATAGTTGCGAGCAGTTCGGGGTTAACCTTAAGACGGATTACAGCAGGTCGTACCCTCATCTCGCGACATTTTTCATCCCCCGCTTATTTGATTGCTTATTTGGCGCGACAGCTTCGGGTACACGGATTATTATGTACGAGTAAATATACAGGCATATTATTAGACGCATCTTGATTTATTTAATTAATTTTTACGCCTAATCATTCTGAAGCACACACCGTCATGCGGTGCCGCGTCGGGCCGAAGAAAAAGTTTGTTTGGACAGCGGGAAGATTCGTTAAGAGTGTTAATTGCTATTTGCTGGACAATTGATATCCTTAACAAATCTTTCCGCTGTCCGAATAAATTTCTTTTCGCTGTCACTACATCGACGAACATTTATTGTTCCGGCAAAATTCTTCTCCGTGCGTGCGACGTCGCGTGCGAACGGAAATGCGGATCGCGTTTGCGATCCGGGTGGAACGCACTGCCGGAAGTAACGGACGAAGCAGGGGGGAAAATCTCTAAAACCCCGGGCGAGATAGTTTTCTCTGGACGAGATCACTCGGTAAACCGATGCGGATTAATACGCGTAATAAATCACGAGTTAAGAGCCGCGCGGATCCGGACGGATTCTCGTTCCTCTTTCCTCCTGGCGTTAACGGCCGCCGTGGAACATCTTTCTCGGTTGTTCTCCGATTCACTGTTCCATCAATCGCGCGGGTACCGCCGCGGCACGCGCGACGATGGGCCGACGGACCGACGGACGGCCGATTAAATCTCGATTTATCTCCCGTGGATGATTTGTTAAACAATCGTTCCATCAATAACGGCGCGAAAATCGCGAAACCTCATATCCTTTTAATTGTCTCGTTTTTTCGCGCGCACGCGCGCGCGTTATATTAAAACAATATTTTCATGCACACGTGCCGCGGACCCGTGAAAATATTTACGATGATGTAACGATGTTTGCACCGCCGGGCGCGCTTTTAATCCAATCACGTTGACTGTGAAAGTTTGTACACTGCGATTGTTTATTTCTCCGTCGCCGGTTCTTTTTGCTCCCTGAGAACCGGCGAGTTCCCCTCCTCTTTCCCCCCCCCCCTTTTTTTTTATCACGATTAAACTTATCGCCTGACGCATAAATTGAAAATTTTCATCTGCGTTCATATCCGCGCCAGACGCTTTAATGTTCCGGCGGGCCGTTGCGGATTACAAGGTTAGGGTTTGCGCCCGAGTTTTATCTTTCGCTTGTAAATATGCTTTGTTTATAAATTATGCATAACAGTGTCCGCCTCGCTCGCCGATTTCCGGAAACGATCGTGCGTGTGCAACATGACGACGGGTTTTCATAATGTATAGAGGTTTCTTGGATTTTTCGCCATTTTTCACCTGTCAATGATAACTGTCATTCCTTAACAGCTGACGAGTAAAATATGTAGGGTTAACGAAAATAGAACGATATACTCTTCAGCGACGTATAGAAATTGTGAAAATTCACTGGAAAAATGGTGAACATTTCGCGGAGACATACAATTTGTACTGCTTTCGGCCGTAATGAAGCACCTTCTCGTCCAGCAATCGTTAACCTAATCAAAAAATTTGAACGTTTGGATCAAATTAGAATGAGCTGCGTTACCGTTACGATGCTGACCGACTTTCTTTGGCCTGAAGTGGATGATTTGAACCTGGACGATGTTTATTTCCAGCAGGACGGCGCAACGTGCTATACAAATGCAGCGAAATAATCGCGTTATTGCGTGAAAAGTTCTCTGAGCGCATGAATTTCTCGACGCGGAGACTTTAATAATTGGCTGCCTGGATCGTGCGATTTAACGCCGCTGGACTGTGTTCTTTGGGGCTGTGTGAAGGATAAGATTCACGCCAATGCTCCGCAAGCGATTCAAGAACTCAAGGACAATATCAGAAGCGTTATTCGCGAAATCGAGCGGCAATTATGCGAAAACGCGAGGCGAGATTTCCTCGAAAAAATGACCGTTCGTGATAATAAGTCGAGGCGGCCATTTATCAGATATCGCGTTGCACACTTAATCGTACAGTCCGTACTTTGCATTGTAATAAAAACATCACCATTTTTTCAAAAGAAAAAAAAAGGAACTGTTTTCTAATAATTTAAATTAAATGAAGCCTCTTAATGGAAAAACCTGTACATATATCAACACGACGGGATTTTCCCGACGAACGTTTCTACCGAAAAATTCGACCGCGTCACGGAAGTGCGCAAAATGTTTGTCACGTTGCTATAACATGACAGCGATACCCTGGGGGATTCCCAAACGATCGAGGAGCCTCGGCGGATACGTCGGCGCAAATTAAATTAGACGAGCGAATTTTGCCAGCCGTCCTCTCTTGACGATTGCGTGCGTGTGTTCTCTCTCTCTCTCTCTCTCTCTCCCTCTCTTTTTTAACTTGACAGTTGAAATTCAGCGATAATAATGCGAGGAATGGTGACGATTAATATAGATCACCGCGCGTATTAATATACATGTCGCGAGTGAAAAAGTTGTCAAGGTTTTTCCAAGTTTTTTTCAAGTTTTCTCCTCATCCGGCACTTAATCGCGCCACTTGAGTTTTCAGCGCGAAACGATGCCGGGATGCAGATGCATTTTACTTATCTCCCGCTTGGGCTAATTTATGATCGCGCGAATGCAAAATTATTTTAATGAGAGAAAACGAAAACCCGCTCTCTCGGGCCTCTCGGGCGCGTGTAAATTTTCTTCCCGCGAACTATTAACAAGGCTATTTAAATTTCTAATAACGTGGACCATTTTTCTGCGGGGGAAGCGGACCGAAAAGTAGCTCCACTCCGGAACGTTCGATAAGTTCGGATGAAATATTTTTGTTTCAGCCCGCATAGAGGAGGAGAAGGGTGTATCGAACGCGCAGATTCTCTGGTCGGCCTGTCAAGCCCTGGCCAGAGCGGTGAAAATCGGACCACTGGGTACACCTATAGACAAAGTGATCAGACCATTAGAACCTGAAATTAACGCAGTTTCCAAGGCAGCACGTGAGTACCTTGGTTGAGTTTGACTTTAACCGTATATACACGTATTATGTATTTTAAGTTTGACACGCACCTTTACCCACGTAGAAAATTTCGTGGAATCTAATTGGGATCCGTTCCGATCTCCTAAATATATAAATACGTAGAATCTGGTTGGGAAATTGTCTAAATTAGGCGGCAAATGTAATATTACAAACGATTTGCGATTTCAAGTGGAAATTCCAAACCGATTCGATTTGATCTGCCTAATCCTTTCCCAACGATTTTTTCCAGTTTCTATTTTATATTAGAATTAAACGTAACATATTAAGTATTTTGCTGTTTACACTTTGTAATTATACACAGAGTGATTCGTTTTAATCTTAACAGGCAAATATTTCGAGAAATATGGAAGATGTCGGAAAATGTTTCAGATAAAAGTTGTAAGGTTTAGAAAGGAACATAAGACAGTGACCTTAATTTCACTATAATTCAATAATTCAAGATGATTTCAAGGTCGACTTCGTTTTTTTTTTTTTTTAATAGAATCATATTTCTCTTTTTTTAACACAAATTGATTCCTCTGTTCATTATACGCATAAAAGTATCAGGGCAAGGTCAATAAATACGAATACTTTTCGAGTTATTTCACATTTTATTCCGATGTTTTTCAGTACAAGAGAATATTGTTACATAAGTATTATTTATTATTTTTTACGATTGCGTTGACTGTATAAAACTGTTAATTTCTGTTACCCCATTACATATTTGGTCTACTTTTACTATATAATTATACTTAAAACCATTATAATTCATGGTAAAAAAATTTACACGGATTGGTCACGCTATGTTTATATTATAATCCATATTATAAGAACATTTACTATATTTATTTACAGTTTTTTTACTATAATTTTTTCACTGTGTCGTTATAGTTTCAAACATACATTTTTCTCTCAGTATGAAATAAATTTGGGAATTCGGATTGGAATCTATGCTGCGCCTCCGGGAAATTTCTACGTGGATAACGCGGCGCGCATTTCACCATTACGCCTTATACAGGCCGATGACGATGACTCGTTATTTTCACTGCATTTTGGCACGCGCATCATGTATTGCGCGGAGAGAAAAATATAATTGCAAATATAGAAATATTTTTGCGGATAACAATATCCTTTTTTCTCATTTTAACAGAAATAATCAAGAGAACTATTTTTCTAGTAAATGTTACTATAGTGTTACAATGACATTAACCTTACGTGCATGTTGTTACTACTATTTTTGTGGTTAAAATAAAAAGAGGATATTGTCTCCGAAAATAACAATATTTTTCTCTGAGTATGTTAACTTTTTATTTACGAGCACGTTCTGCTGCGTTCCGCAACGCTCTCTCTCTCTCTCTCTCTCTCTCTCTCTCTCTCTCTCTTCCCTACGAGAAACGAGGAAATAGAGCGATGTACTTTTAAAGTAATACCGCTCGGCGGACCCATTTGATGCGAAATATGGTGAATAACTTCTAAAGTAGCACGCGAAAACTTCGGCCACAGAATGCACCGCGGTGCAGCTTTACAGTCGTGGACGCCGAAGACGTCACGCAGCGCGGTCGCTCGTAATTATTATTAATCAGCCACTGTGTATGTACGTCGTTATTATTGCACGCGTTTTTCGAGAGCGAAGCCGAGTTAATATAGCGGGCATAGCCGAGCTTAATTAAGCCTGCAAAGCGCATCGTTTCGCGTGTACGTACACGTTTTGCGGAAGTTTGCGTGTTATATTTAATTACCGTTTCCGACCACATCGAAACGTGTTAAATTAATAGCCCGTACTTAGATAAATGAAAACATAACACTTTTTTCGACGTTTTCTCTTCTTTCTTCCTTCTCTTTTTTTTTTGTTTCATTTTTCCCTCTATCCGATAGCCGAGTGATTTATTTAAATTTCAGCTCGACGTTTATCTCCGTTTATTATTTCGCGCCTCGGTATTAAAAAAAGCGTATAATTCGCGAAAAAATGATTTCGTCTCGCCCCTCTAATTCTTTCCACCTTTTCCACCTCTTTTTTTCTTTTTTTTCCTTTTTTTTTCTCGACGCGATACAACGCGCGCCTCATACGTGTGTACAAATTGAAACGCGCTTTCAGCACCGCGCCGCGCAACAATAGCGTACGGTGGCGTAAAAGCCAAGGTTCATATTTCACCTGGTATCGCTGCCGCTTCGATGCTCCACCCTCGAACGTGCTTCATCGTGACCGAGCGTCTTCCTGGCGCGCGCGCGATTCAGATACCGTCGATCGTCAGAGAGGGGCGGCGGGTTGAAGCGCGCCGTTGACAACATGACGTAAGCCAATCCTCGGTATAAAAATACTTTTTTCCAAAAAAAAAAGAAACTTTGTTTTCCCAATAATTTCAAATAAAACCTCAGGATGGAAAATCTTTAGACAGCCACCAAAGTAGGCGCGAACCGTCCTCAAGGGCGTCAAAGGAGCAACGTGAAAATCTCGACTCGGACGGCGTATATTTCATTTCCGGTGGCGGCTGAGTCTGCGGGAGTGTTGTCCCAGTAGAGGGGCGGTTTTTCAGTTCGGAAACGAGTTCCCGAACGCGTTTTAATCGCGCTCGCCCTCCGTTACCGCCGTCGTCGTCGCAGCATTTCAGCGATTCGCGCTATTCCCGCGGGCACCGCCTTCGCTTCGAGGCGGTATGAAAGCCCGGAACAATAGGAACGACATAGTCTCTCTCTCTCTTTCTCTCTCGAATGCGTATGTAGCCACCGAGAGACCGAGGAGAGGCCGCCGCTCAGCGAAAGAGAACTCCGTCGAAGATTTATGACTTAATCGGAAGCGAACGTTCATAAAGGCCCCGCACGGTGAGCATTTCAAAGAGCTCGTGTCAGCCTGATGAAGTGCCCCGTTCGTGTTCATTAATTATACCCCCTCCACCTCCTCTCCCTCCTCCTCTCGCCATCCACCGTTAGCTACCGCGACTAGCCGGGTTCGGTTAATTGCTCCAAGTGTCTATAAATTTTTTGCCGGGCGCTTTTCGAGCGAAAGCGAGTTCGTATGTGTGTATGTGCGTGACTTTCTCGCGGGCAAGGCCAAGGTTTAATTGCCGGTAGCCGGGACGCTATCTCGACGCGTAAGTCGTTCTCCCGGAGTCGGTAGTGTTAAAATGTTAAATTACCGACGCAAAGATTCCGTCGAGACTCGGAAATAGGTGGTGGTGGGTGGCCGTTTACTTGGAGGCATCAGCCGAGCGATGAAGCGAGTTCCTCTCGCTTCGGCGCCTCTTTGGTCAGCAGCGCTGATCGTCGGAGGTCTCCTCTCTTTCTCTCTCTCTCTTTCTCTCATACACACTCGGACGAGAGATCGTTCACAGCGCGCGCGGAAACGATTCTCATTGCAGCAAGCTTATTACCTGTGCATCTATATATGCTTCCGTGTGTGTTCTGTGTGTGTATGTATGATACGTTATTCGCAATAACCAATCGCGAACCACAGACCGAAATGTGCGCCCGCAACGAAGTTCGTACGACGGGGGCCAACCGATTCGCGCCAATGAGGGAAAAACGTAGCCGAAACGTTGTGGATTCGACGGCCGCAAAGCAAATTGCGCTACTGCGGAAGTTGGGTGATCGCGCGAATAACATATGTGCTTGCGTGTGCGTACGCCGATTAATTCTACCTGTCAAAACTGGCGAAACGTCGGCCCGGAACGAATAAACGAGTCTAGAGCCGCTAATTGGTATTGCGATTAATTAATTCGATAATCGAAGTGTGTGCGCGCGCGGCACATGCGTACGTGTGTGTAGGTGTGTGTGGGTGTCCGCGTCAATTCAATTTTCCGCTCCTTTCGTTCGCAGCGAAGGACGATCCTCTGGTGTGCGCCGCTATTCGAGGCATTCCCGAAGAAGCTGCCAAGAGAGGAGTGTTCCCGGAAGATGCCCTGCGCGAGAGATTCCTCAAGGTAATTACCGCCTTTTCCCCCTCCACCCCGCGGAATCACACCACCCTCGCGTATTCTCCGTCGTCCACTTTGCGCGAGATGATCGCGTCGTTCGATCGCGAACGGCATTTTCGTTGCTTGTGCGATGTTGTCCTTCGAAATAAGAGCCGCTCTCTGTGTTCGCGCGTAATCGGAGAGTCAAACTTAGTAAGCGAATGGAGGAATCGATTAGAAGTACTGCGGGAATCGGGCAATCTTAAACAGGAAAAGTAAAATAAGCGGCAGAATGATTATAATCGTAGATGTATAATACATATATTCTCGTGGAAATAACATCACTTCATCGACACATCTGAATATTTTATGAAATTAACACTCTGCACAAAAATTGTTAAAAAAGATTGTGATTAAAATGATTAAATTATATGAAAATTATTTAACTGTAGAATGCGTGGCCATCGTTCTGCTATTTGCATTACATTCTTCAGCCGACTTTTCCGACAGATATTGAATGAAAAAAGGTATTTTTAATTTATGAGGTTATCGATGACGACTTTTAATCCTTTCGTTATTATTCAATTTGGTTTTCAAACAAATCGTATAATCGTAAAAGGGTAAAAAGGTTGTCTGAAGAAATTAACTGAAATGTTAACGAAACGTCGGACAAAATTTGCATTCAATATAGGAATTTATTTTTCGTCTGCGTTTCAAAGCTCACTGAGAAAGTTTCATACTTATCGGAAAAAATTACTTCCGCGTACAGTTTTATTTTTTGTTCTTTAAATTTCCTGTATTTCCCTAAGTCGCTTCGACATTGCAGGTATAGCCAGACAAGATCACTATTTTTTCGGTTCATGAATGTTTGTATCTTGAAGAAAAATTCTCTACGTGCGTAAGACATAAATGTGACCTCGTCGAAAATAGAAAAATAGTTCGTATTGCATTTATTTTTGCTCCTGACATATTTTGTTTAATCAGTTATCTAATCAGTTTTTTTTTCTTTTTTTTTCTTTTTTTTCATAATTGTTTACACATTCACATCCAACATCTGGCTTTTACAGGCCAATTGTATTTTCCATTAATTTGATTTTCTAAAGAACGAAGCTGAATTATCGTCCAAAATTTCCTCTTTCTTCGAGATCCGATCATCAACCGATCATCACAGCTTCGAGTCTTAAAAGTTCGTTCTCTCGTTACATGTTGCCAGGTAGAGAGCGTGGCGAGAAGATTAGCCATGGTGCCAGAGGAGGGTGCGTCTTTGCCTGTGTATCTGCTTAGCTATCTTCAAAGTTTCTTCATCATCAGAACGGCCGATCCAATTCCAAAGAGCGAGCTCGAAGACCAGCCAATTGATGTGAACTCGCTGAATACGTACGACATACTTTACCGCGCCAGGTGAGACCTCTCGTAAATTGTTCAAAACTGCCGTATCACCCCGATGCGCTTGGTCAGTTAATCCCGGGTTAATCTGAGCGAGTTTGTCGCGCACAGGACGAAACTTAAAATCCTCAATCGAGGCTGCAACCGAACACGGTTTTTTTCCTCAAATATTTGCTCCGCACAGAGTTTCTTCGCCGAGTTCTATCGGCGTGAAGAGCCGACGAATTGTGCGACATGGAATTCTCAATACAAGGTGGGGAGAGGAAGAGTACGAGGTTAAGCAACGTCGGTGCGAGGTCGTCGATACTCTCGACACACACACACTAATAGGATTTATCACGTCGCCGATTAAATGCACCTTTATTGTACTCGTAACTCGAGCAGCAATTTCCGCGTCACGCAAGGCCCTCTTTCTCTCTTTCTCTATTCGCTCTGTGGCCCGGACGACCCTATAAATTATCCTTACGAGACTCTAAGGACCGGAGAGAGGGAGAGAGAGAGAGAGAGAGCAATATATCCAGTCGGCCATCAACGAGGCGAAGGAAAGACGAAAACACCTGCCGTAATATCCGCCACGTAACACTTTGACAAAGAATACCATTTACTACTCGTCGGGTTATCCCTGGCGAAATCCGTTGTCGGGCCATTTTACCCGCCTTATCCCTTCGTTTTTCTCGCGAAGGCCACCTCTTTGGTTTCGCGGAACGTTACCTAGACTTATCCTTCGAAATGTTAAATAAAGATTAGCATACGTTGATTGTTTCTCCTTCCCGGATTACCTGGAATTATCATTTTATGTAAAATGTAATGAACAGTCGGAGGTCGAGTTAAGTAGACGTTTACACAGGAATCCAGCCGTAATCATCGACACAAGTCCGTAAGAGGGGCGATTCTTTATGCAAATATGTAAAATCAGATATTGTATACAAAATATCGTTTCACGGCATTTTCTTTTCGAGAAAAGCAATTTTAATTACTCGATCGAATATTCGTTTCGATTAATATGCTACTGTTTGAAGATTTGAAAAGATTCCTAATAAAATAAATTTACGGATCAACTAGGAGAAGAGGGGGGGGGGAGGGATGAATTTTGACACGACGAGTTATCGTACGCGATCTTCGGCGTGAATCTCACGTGTTCGGGAATCCATGAAAACGGGGTGGCATCTGTTTTCGTTCGCACGAAAAATATATGCTCGATCTTCCGCTCTCACTGCGCCGCGAGTGTCTGGCGAGAGGAAGACCTCGACGACGACGCTCCCGGCCGCCGTCTTGGACCGCGCGCGCGCGCGCGTGAGAGAGAGGAAGAGATAGTTTTGCATACTTAAAAGCACTTCTCGCTTGTTTTCTCGCGCCGTGCTTTTTGGCGGCCACGAGGAGCGGCTTGCGGAATATCGAGTGTCTGTTACGAAAGAAAATAGACTCTCCGTGCCGACATTCTTGGCACGTGCGGAGTTACGCTCCCTTTCGCCTCCGGCCGTCGGTTACCGTCTCGTGGCGCGAGCCTGCGTCCACGAATTAAAAATCTATTATTCACGTTATTTCACGGTTAGGTTCCGCGCGACGGAACGTCCGGCGGAAGTTTGATATCATCGGCACGTAAAATGTGATTTCCGTGAGATACGCGCGAGAGAGAAAATCCGTCAGATCGAAGTTTGGAAAGAAACGCCCGTGAAAAAGCTCTGCACGGATCTACGCAATCAAGTGCGAATTAAGTTCTTGTACGAATTCAATAGCTGAGATCGAGATGTTTAATCATTAGCTCGTAAGCGAAACGTTTCGGTCGCAAGTCGGGGATCCCTTGAAATAAACGCAAATAGTGTAACGATTTAATCCGTTCCTTACATCTTTCCTCAATAATTCGTGACACTTCGGTCATCTCGTGTAATGTTTTCCGCGGGAAGTAGAACTCACGGGAGAGGAACGCCTCTCTCTCTTCTCTTTTTCATCGGGTCCATTTCATAATGCAACTCGTGAAGTTATGCCCTTCCCTTGTCGCTCGTAAAGCGTAAACGCTGTTCTGATGAATATGTAATTATTCTATCAGGCGTGCAGAGAAGGAGAGGTGGACAGAGAGACTGCAAGGGAAAATAAAAAAACGGTTGGGGGAGGGGGGAGGGTTCGAGAGGACACTTTTTTCCGCAACTCTCAGCGCGGAATCCCGTGTACGACCCGAGCCGATGCCGCGGCTGACATTACGAACGATATGCAGCGACGTGAATAAATAATGTACGGATGCCGATGCAGGTAGCATATTTTACGCGCACTAGGCCTCTCCAGGGTGGATATCAGGGCGGGATAAGTTACTCCGCGCGCCGTGGGCTTTGAAATTGGCGATATATGCAACGCGCGGCTCGCGTGACATGTTCGTCGTCCACGGAGCGGACACGCCGGGCGTGAGTCTTCTGAATGTTTAATTTCGAGTCGCACTGCGGTATGCACACACTTTCAACGCCCGTGGACGAATCTTTCGGGAGGGGGGAGGGCAACACCGACGCGCAGTCGATACATCATGGAAGCTTGCGCCGCTAAAAGATTTCCTGAACTCGAGAACGGACAGCCAACGTACCGCGTCTAACTTCCGACGGATTTATTTACGATTTCCGTAAATGAATTCGTCCTACCGCAAAAATCTCGCGGTATGCTCCGTAAATTTTTCAATCCCGATTTTTGCGAAACCCAAACGGAAATGCGCTCGCGTCTCGTTCAAGAGAATCCTATTATTTAACAGAAGAAATGCCATTATTTGTATCTTTTAACCGAATAAAATAGTATTCGTTTATAATAAATATGTAAAACGCAACAAATAATTTCTTTGTGAGATAATTATCTTTCGTTTCAAAAAAATTTTTTTTATTTAAGATAGCGATACATATTCGTTGAAAAGTCTAACAGTCGTACTTATTAATCGAAACATTAGTTTCTTCGGAGCATGTCAGCGATGAAATTTGTTTGGGTGCAATGAAACTGATTAAATTTGAAGAAATCTTTTTCTCACTATGCGTATACTTTGACATAAGAAACACGTGTCAGAGGCGTCAGTTGAGGCCAAAGATCGTCATAAATGTTGATGTTAAACAAGATAAATTCCAACGGTCGTTTAGTGTTCTAAGAACACATTTTCATACCGTGAAAAAAGTTGAAATAGCAGCATACCTTGATACATCTTTAATGAAGACTATCGTCGTTCTGAAAATACTAGCAATGACAGATGTGACTATTGGACGACAAAACTATCTGTTGATACGCGAGTTGATATGCGAAGTTAACTGCGAATAAATTGAAGAAATAATCACGTACAAATAGAGCATGGTCAAACTTCACGTGACAGTTCGATCGAGATCATTATGAAAGAAGTCTGCGCGCTACCGCCGAGACCGAGAAGATGATACGGCCGTCGTGTATAAAGGGAACCGAACTCCGTTCCGCGATCTTTTACGAAGTAACACGTGCAGGAAAAGCGAATTCTCTTCTTAATAGATCTCAGGGATCTCCGATCTTGGTGCAGGGTGAAGGCTACAGTCGGAAAGTTCCCGCGATATCACCGAATATGAAATCCGAAGGCAACAAGAAACTTCGGGATCGTCCGTGCCTCGAATTAGGCCACATGCTATCGCGGAGTTGATTTCAAGACGGAGGATAAACGTTCTGCGAATAGACCCGCGTGTTCCATTTCACGTAGGAGCCGTCCGTAGGATTCGTCGTAAATGAGAAGGCAGAGAGGCGGTCCGCAGTTTTCCGGCGGACGTATTGTGCCCGCGACCCCTGTTGATCCCCCCGTTATTTTCTTTAAAAGCCCTGCAGACCGCGTCGTGCATGACGGCGTCGTAGCGACGAACTCGCGATCGAACGATCGTCGGGTCGCAATAGCGGACTTGTATAAAAACTAGCGAGAGATGCTAAAGCATCGTACCCCCCCCCCTCCCCCATATCGGGAGGGCTCTCTATTTCAGTCACTTCCTTTCAATTATTTATAAGCTTCTTTTCATAAGCTTTCATAAGCTTTTCATTTACTTGTAAGTTAAGGGGTTCAGAAAGTTTACTTCAAAACGCGTGAAAATAACTTGTTTTTTTTTGTGAATTTTTTCAAAGGAAACTACTACATGTATCGCTTTGCGCTTTTACACGTATATTCAGACATATTTAATAAATATTTACAATTTTTTCTATAGCTAAATATTAATCAATTTTTATATCATATAGATTTAAAAATATTGTGTCGTTGATTGCACGACGGTACTTCTTCTGACTCAACCGAGTAGAAAAATTCGAACAGATTTTTAATTATTATGAATGTAACTATGGACGAGAACAAATATAAAATATTGTAAGTTATTAAAATGGTGGGGTTTTAAAGAACAATTATCGATTTGCCCGAGAAACTCTGACGAACCTGCTTCCTCGAATAATTCTTGCTTTTCGAGTCTCTCAAAGCTTTTTTGCTTTCCCTTCTTCGTCACCCGCAACGCGCGTAGCTACTTATGTAACCGATCTTTTTCCTTCTCATCGACGAATATCCTAGATTACCTTCTTAAAAGAAGGACCCCTGAAATAATTTTAGCATCAGGCCTGGAAAAGTCACCACCGATCGTACGGTAAAACGGTGATCGGCGGTGATCTGCAAGTAGTAAATTGAAAAACGTTAAATATTTACGCGCGCGTTTACGTAACATTTAATCGCAATTTTCCGTCCGGAGCAGAGATCTTCCCCGCGGTTCTCGCACGTCGCCCGGGCAACGCATTCTTTCTCTTTTCGTAAATCAGCCGCGTAAGCCGCGGGATAAAACATTAATCTCACTTTACCGCATCGGAACGGGCGACGGTGCACCGTACGCGGCAGATAGATACACGTATATACGGGGCGGTAAAGTTTTCCACCGACGTTAGCTTTGCATGCGACATCCTTCCCTCGAAGGAACCGCGTTCTCCCGGCCCGGGAGAAAGGCGACATCCTGTCGTGGCGGTGGGTATCGCTAACTTAATCCTAAGCCGGTGAATAAACGTTCCATCCCGCTCGAGAAGGTCCGATCGAACGCAGCGTGGGGGAGGGGGGGAGGTAAAGTTTTTAACGAACCGCTTGCAGTCTCTCTCTCCAAGTCGGCGTTTCCTTTTGGAGAAGGTCGTGTTCGATGGCGCAACTTCCGGGTGTACCGGATGTCGCCAACTATTCCGCCGCGAGTGCCTTTCGCCAAACTATTCCGCCCGGTATTTCCCCGAAAGGGGCAGAGAAAGAGCGACGGAGTGGGGAAGAGAGGAAGGGGAGGGGAGGGTGCGTCCGTCTCGAAACTCCGCGATGAAGTGATGGATCGCTCGTCGTGAATAACCGTCAAGAAATCGCCGATAAATTTTCCACGCCGCTTGCCAGCCGCAAATCGCGCCTCGGACGACCGTTGTCGCCGCTGCTGCTGTTTGCCGGACGTTTGATCGCACGATTGCGCAGGAGACGTCAGTGAACCAACAGGAATCCGTGTTCAGAGATGTCCCGGCTCCTGCTTTAATTCAGTGCCGGATTAGTGGGGTTAATTTTGACGTTGACGTTGATTAACCCAGGTATACTTTTACATGCGGACTGACGGGGAGAAAATATTGATGTCGAGGAAAAACGTGCGACTTCATTTAGAAGAGTATTTTCTTTTATTCCGGCTACCCGGCTGATATTTGCGAGCTTGGGTGCCGGTTACACGAACAGCGCTGTCGCATAGTCACACTCGACTGTGATTGGCCAATCTCTTAAGGCTTAGAGCTTAAATTCTCATTGTAGACCCCGGTCAAGCCTAGGTCTACGATAGAATTTTAAACCTGAAGCCTTAGGAAATTGACCAATCACCGTTGATTATTCTTCTGTAATTCGATTGTGACTGATCAATTTCTTAAGGCACCTATTGTAGACTAGGACTAACCGAGCGTCATCAAGCGGAAAGGTAGGAAGTACCGGCGCAGGCCGAAGCGACGGCTTCTGAGGCATTGCTCTCCGCAAACTCGCAACATTCCGTGCAACATTTCGCTTGTTCCAGGTACTGGCTGGATCGCGGGGACTTCGAGATGGTCCTGCGATACATGAATCTACTGAAGGGCGCGCCCAGAAGCGTCGCCCGGGATTGGATGAACGAGGCCAGGATCCTGCTAGAGACGCAGTTGGCGGTAGACACCCTTCTGGCGCACGCAGGTGCGACCGGTCTCTTGTATCTCGGTGCTGGAGGTTCGCCCAAGGTCAGTGCATCATGTTGTAAGCCCTCGGACAAGCGGCGCGATTAGACACGCTCTCGCAATCACGCCGGCTTCGGAGAAACACCGCGCGCTTCCCCGGTATAATTAATAGCCAGCTTTCGCGCGCGTCTCGGCGCCGATAGTTTAACTGCTGTTAACCTGGGGATAGTCAGAAGATAGTCAAGACGGGCCCGGCTTGTTCTTGTTGCACTGGTCAGCTCTCGAAATGCCCAAATGAAAGGTACATATCGGTTTCCTGATCGGTGAAAGAAAAAATCCACCGCGATGTGAGCTTCATTTTCTGATCGCTGGGGTATGAAATGACCCCAGGTGGATCGTTTACTTAAAACACCGAAAATAAAGTGACTATTCCTGGGTTAAACAAGCACGTTTCTGCGCAGCCATCCTGGCCGACAATTGCAGCGCGAGCCGGAGATATTCATCATGTTTATGAATATCCATCACCGCCGAGGATTCGTTCGTCCTGTTTTTACTTATTTGTCGTATTATTTACAGCGATTTTACGGAGACCTTTACGGCCGAAAACAAGTCGAGCGTAATGTTTTCTTCTTTTTTTCTTTTCTTTCGCTTCCCGAGCTGTACCGTCTCTTTTTCTTTGTCCATTGTACGTCCGTTGATTTTATTCGGTGCCAGCCACTTTTCTTCATGTCATGAATCGCCGATGTCATACGAGAGAAAACGTCTTTATTTGTCGATGGCGACCTTTTCGATACGCGGGACGAAGAGAGAGAAAGCGAGTTTACTGTAATCGGAAATGTATTCGCGAGCGTGCCTTCACGTTCCCCGTTTCGATGTGTTGTCCGAATTGTTCCAGCAGAAGTAAAGCGAGCACAACAGACAGAGAAGACTGTTCCAAACCACACAACGGAGGCGTCCACGGAAGAGCGGGAAGCGTCGACGAACGGGGAGGGGGAATGAGGAAGAGACGGAGCCGATGGATGGATATCCGGGTGGTGGTGGTAGTAGAAGGAACGCGGGAAGGAAAAGTATGCAGAAAGAAAGCAAAACCGAAACCGCTGCCAGCCTTGTATAGCGAACATTGTCTTTTCTAGCAATTAAAAGATAGGATTGGTGTGCCGGGTGAAACGAATGCAGTGGCGCTTTTCTTTGCCAGCCCCCCGGAAACCCATCCCCTCTCACGACCCTTGCATGGAAATTCGCGTTCTCTCCGCGCGTAACCTCGCTCTCTCGCCTTGAACTTTTTGATAAAAAATGCAAATCGTCACGTACACTAAGTCGGCCGTATCAGGGATTTCAATCGTCGTTCACGGAACAACGAACGTGCACGAAAAAAAAAGATTGAATCAACGCAACGACGAACGAGCCGAACGTGATTTAGATCGAAGGAAGCTGAATTTTCGCTTCTTATAATCGAATTTGGTTCGTAGGGACTCGAAATTTCGCTTCTTTCAGTCGACACGCCTTTAGTTCGTTTATCGTCGCGTTAATTCAACCGATCTGTCTTTTCCGTGCAAATTACGCACTGAGGAAGAAAGCGGTTGAATCTGCAAGATCGGCGGCGTCACCTTCGTCCGAAAAAATCTTGTGCCCATTGAATAAATTACACGTTGACGTAACAGTGCGTTGAATTAATACGGCTGCCGGTCGAATCGTAACCGTTGAATCAATTGATAATTCACTACGCAGAGAACAAAAAACAGTTTGGTTGAGTTTATCCGAACAGGTCGGGCGCGTTTAAAGTTGAAGGAAACAGAATTTCTGCTCCTTGCGAGTCAAATTTGGTTCTTGTGAGCAAAAATCGTTTCCTTCAACGGAAACGTTTATCCGTTTCAGGTAAATCGAATAAAATTGCTTTTTTCCCGCGCAGCAAACCGTATAATTTCTTCAATGACCTAAACGTTGCTCTCGCAAGCATCTCGTTCGTTCGAACGGAACTTCGCTCATCCCGCCGCTTTTCTCCCCCAGTGCGTATCGCCTTTGTCCCGAGAATGAAGAGAGAACTCGCGAAAGAGTCGCTTCGAAGAGAGATTCGAGCCGACACATTCGTCTCGAATAACAGATGAACAATTCACCCAATATGAGAGACACACCGTTTACCTCACCACCTCGATGCTCTCCTCCTTCTTCCTCTTCTTCCCTCATGGCTTCATAAAACTGGGGATTTTTCAAGTTGGACGTTTAACGTCGCGCAATCGGACTTTGATTTCCTCTCGCTCGCTCGCTATTCCGCTCGGCGACTCGAGTACCAGCGGAGTCGTGACGACGAATATCGCGTTCCGCGGTTCGGCACTGCGCGTTGCCGGCGTAATATTCAAACCGATCGCGCGGGGGAAGGAGTGCGTTTAAGCGCGCACCGCGCGTCGCACATGTCACCCCCGTGGTGGCACACCTCGGCCGTTTTAAATTACCGCTCGTCACGCGTGCCCGATGTTTGCCGCGCACCGATCAGCGCGCATGTTCTCCGCGTGCACGCGCGCACTTAAGAGTCGCGTCCTCGTCGGCTGTGTCGCGAATCCCCGCAGCCCCGATAATTACTTGCCCCACCGATTACTCACTCCTNCCCCCCCCCCCTCGTCCACCTGTCCATCCCACGCGAGTTGAGTGCCTTTTACTTTATAACCGGATATTACTCTCTCCCGTGTACACGCACACACACACTGAATCACCACACTCTCGTAGTCGCAAGAACCACACACACACCATCGATCTCGTCGCGTGCCGTCACCTCCGCGGTTCTCGTCGCGACCCCGGCCCTCCCCCTCCTCCCCACGGGATGGGACGGGATGATGTTGTTGTTGGAACCATTGTAAAAATTGGAAATAAAGCTGTTTCGCGACATATAACGCGCTGTGTTGATTGTTCCAAAGGAAACTCGCTCCGACGGAGAAAACCGTGAGACTTCCGCCTCCGCCTTTCCCGTCGCAGAGAGTATACGAGGTCTGTTCAAAAAGTATCGCGAATTTTGTGTTTTTTCAAAAATTATTTATTTATTCATGAATATCTATTTTGTCTCCTTCAAAGTAATCCCCATCAGATATTATACACTTGTGCCAACGTTTTTTCCAATCCTCGAAGCACTTCAAAAAATCATTTTTTGCGATCTTGTTCAGCTCCTCCTTCGATGCCGTCTTTATCTCCTCAATCGTAGCGTAGCGTCGTCTTTTCATGTGCCTCTTCAGTTTCGGGAAGAAGAAAAAGTCACAGGGGAATACGGTGGCTGCGGCATCATTAGTGTGTTGTTTTTGGCCAAAAATTCGCGCACAAGCAACGATGTGTGAGCAGGGGCGTTGGTACGAATTTCACGGCGACTCGTCTCATGCCCAAATCATTAGTAAAAATCGAATAGCACGAGCCAATCGATATGTTTAGGTCCTCAGCAACTTCTCTAACGACGATTGGCCAATACTATTTTCTTCATTTCATCAATGTTTCGTCTGTTGTTGACGTGCTCGGGCGTCCGGCTCGCTCTTCGTCGTTCACATCTTCTCGGCCCTCTGAGAACATTTTGTACCACCGATAAACGTTGCTTCGGTCCAAGGTAGCTTCACCATATGCCACAGTCAACATTCGGAATGCATCCGCGCACTTAATTTTGTTAGATTCTTTGATCCATTTTTTGGAATAGGCAAAAATCGAAGACGAGCCAAAACACGTCCAAGCAAAAGAGCTGTCAAAGATAAACTGAATATTCAAAATGGCCGAACTTGTCGGCATAAATGAGGGACATGAGTACCAACATAACGCCACAAAAAAATCGAAAATCGAATATACGTAACCCGCGGAAATTCAAAATTCGCGATACTTTTTGAACAGACTTCGTATGATACAACTCCACTTTTCAACATGCTTTTATCGCTATGTTTTCATTAGAATGCATTAAAGAGTCGTACGAAAGGTCATTATAATGTTAGAGCTCTTTTATTTTGATTATCATCATTGCTGTTATATCGGGTGTCTGAACTATTAATGACGGCAACGCTGGTATGCAAATAGAACGGGTCGAGCTGAACAGGAAACTCCTTTACCATTTTTCAAAGTTCGCAATAATTATTAATAATATAGTTACTGGTAGATAGTTATTAATAATATATATTATTATATATATATATATATATGTGTTTGATTTGATTAAGGAATTATAATTAAGAAATATATCAGCGTATGAGTGCGCGCTAAGCGACAGGATGAGCCCTGTCTTTAATTAGTTCCTTAATAACTATTGCAAAATCTATTAAATAGCAAATGGCTTCCTTCGTCATTTTGACCCGCTCTACGAGCGTTGTGCCGTTAATCGTCGGACATTCTGCATATTTAGAGAAAAAGTATTTATATATAACATATAATTGTGTCAAATATGAATATAAAAATGTACATTATTTTTTCTCTTCATATTTATTTTTATTGTTTTTTAGTATTTCATGTTGTATTGGTTCGTATATTTTAGACCCGGTCTAGTAACTGCATTCGTTGCTTCATGTGTTTACTCTTTTAATACCGTAATATTCCACGATACATATATATATTGGTATTTTGTACATTCTCGAAGGCGAGACGATGTTTGATTCGCGTTGAAAGCTGGTCGCCTCGCAAATGTGATTTCGTCCCCTCGCGCAAATTTCGAAAGAACCGCCGGCTGTGGTCGGTCCTTGGTCCTCGAGGACCCCCGCCCGCGAGGTAATAAAACCGCGAGCGGCGGTATCTTCCGCGTAAAACACCGCTTTGCGTTGTTTCGCTGCGGCAAATACGGATCCCGTGGGGTCGGATAAAATAGTGCGCCGGACGCAAAGACGCCGAGGGGGCCGCGCTAATTGGCGTCGTTAATGACACTCGCGGCCGGTGCGCTTTAATCTAATAACGGGGAGTCCTCTCTGCAAAGGATAACCACCCTCTTGTCTCTCTCGGGCAACAGCGATCCGCCGCGGAAAAAGTTGATGTCGCAGAGCGACCGAATGAATATACACTGCGTTTCGGCCGCGCTGCAAAGTGGCTCAATTAACCGTCCGCTAAAGACACTACTCGCCCTTTGACGTCGCAAATTGATTCGGCCCGGAGATCGCCCCGGCATCCCCGCCGTAATCTTCCTATATCGCAGACTTCTTCCGATAAATCAGTTACACGGCATCTCTCCGATCGACCGAAGAGAGAATCGCGGGTCGATTCGTTCCGCGAACGCCGGTAATTTCATTCGACCGGAATATCAATTGTTTTCTACGACGACGGGCTCTCCGAAGCACGATTTGCAAATCCTCCTGCGCGGCTGAGACGCTTCAAAACTTTTCAATGATACTCTCGGCAGGAAATCTTTCACTTTGCAGGGGTTTATTATTGTTTTTTCTCTTACCGAGAAACGTACGTAGTTGGTGCATCTCCGTACCAGGAATATTGTGCAAACAATTTTTCTACGTTTATGCACAGGCTGGAGCGAATACGTTCGTGCACTTGAAGTATTTCCGCTGTTTCTAGAAATGTGAAATATCTTAATGACGAAAATGAGATACGGGGGCCGTAATAAATATGTTAGTGATAAGTTTTCTGCGGGTGGAAGCACTTCGGAGATTTTAAAGTCACCTTCATTTTCTTAACATATACTATACATTAAATATACTTAAACATACTATACTTTTTTATCTTTAATGCAATAGCGAATATTATATAAATATATATAAATTATGCGATAATTTACTGCAAAACCAACTTTCAATTTTTATTAGTCTATTCACACGCGTCATTTTATATTTCGGTTAAGATCTCTTGCTCGAACACAGCACGTAATTTCGAAGATTGAGACGAAAATCCGGCCACCGTTAGCGTGCCGATTATTGATTCACAATCGATTCGATATCCGCGTGTTTACGATAACTACCACGCTTGTAATACCCGGCGCGTCGAATTCTCGACGCGAGTTTAATCCAGGACGGCTGTTGGGGGTGTTTCCGTGCGCCTGACACCATAGCTATCATCCTCGAAACAATTGCATTGACATTCATAACTGGCCCTGGTCGACGTCGATCCATCGTCTGAATTAGGAATCACTCGGTGATCCGTGGTGCCAGCTACAACGGTTGCTACGGGCCGACACGGATGCTTCAATACGCCGGAAGACACGCCAGAGCGCCATTCGATGTATGA